CTCCTCCGTTCTTTCCATCTGCCGAGTCCCCTGCCGTTCATAAAAAACGCTTGCGTGCAGATGGTTGATTTTTCATTCCATTTCTCTTGCTTGAGTTTCGCGAGGCCACCCTCTTCGTTGGGCCACTTCTTCCAGTCTTGGGTCCACTCCTGACTTCACTGTGCCCCCCTCCCTGGCGTGGTTGCATGGAGCCACCCCTGTCTTTACTTCCCACATTTTGCCTGAACCTCTAGGCCCTCCTCCCCTGGTGAATTGGAGGCATGCAATAGAACTAGCATCAAGCTAAATCCTCAGAAAGAAACAATCCCGTAGGGCCCCTTTCTCTTTTGGGATCTGTATCCGTGATTCACTTATCCACGGTCTGAACATATAAACAATATTAAAAGAAAATTTCCAGAAATATGTATTTCTAAATATGAAGTGACCACAACTGGCCACTAGAGGGAGCCAGAGATCATGCTGTGTATGGTGTTTGCTATTAAAATAATGTTTGCTATTATCCACGTTTCTTCAGTATCCACTGGGTGCCTGGAACCAATCGCCTGTGGATCCTACTGTACAACAAAATAAAATGTAATGTTCTGGATCAGATGTGTACCTTCTGGTCTTGTGAGCTAGCATTCACCAGGTGAAGCACTCTCCCCTCCCCCCCATGGCTGGGGGAACACACATGGCCGAAAAAAGGTGGCCTCTCTCGCCATCCGAGAAGCAAGCAAATAATGCCTGCTCCTTCTTCCTCCTGCTTTGGGAGGAATGGAAGGGAAAAAATGAGGAATAGATTTCTCAACCAGGCTGAATCACTGGCCGGGCCCATTTCTACCCACTTCCCCTTGAGATTTCTCTCAGTCTAGAAAACTGGACCCCTTCCATTTTTAAAAAAAAAAAAAAGAGGGAGGAAAAGAGACGATCATGCTTATTCTCTCTGTTCCGTGTCCAAAAATCTAAGAGCCTGGAAGACTGGAATGGAAAATACAGGAGGAGGAGGGAGCGAATTCACTGTCCCCCCCCCTCACCCTATGGGTCACTCTTAGGGTTGCCAGCTTTTTCCTCTTTCCTAGCTGGCGGAGCTCCTGTGCAGTTCCCAGCCTGCAAGGGGGGGAAGGTGAGAGTTAGCCCAAGGAAGCTTTCCCACAACCCCTGAGTCGGCGGCCCTGGGCCTTCGGTAACAGCCCTTCGCGTCGACAATAACAAGGGAGTGTGTGATTCGAAGGAAATTTTGCACTCGGCGTGCGTCCAAACATTCGCAGACAACACGAATACAGGAACAATATAAAAGCAAAAATTGGACTTTTCAAGAATAACCGTTGAAGGCAGGCCGATCCCCCTTATTTTGAAAACAGTACGTGGAGGCGGACAAACAAGAAAGTCCAATGTGCTTTTCCCCCTCCTTTGTTTTCGTCCCACCTTGTATCTTTTCTAGATCTACAAGCGGATGAGAACTCGTAGGCTTCCTTTCCTCCTTCTCCGAGGGAATAACGTCTTGTTTCTTGTCCATAAGGACTTCGTGATCATGGGAGGAGTGTTGGATCTTCTGTAAATAAGTTTAGGAATCATAAAGGACCCTAACTTTTCGCTTCTCTTCAATTGAACAAAAAGATTCGTTGCCACGAAATCTCGTGGAAAGCAGCAAAATCAGGCGATTTTTAAAAAAATGGATCTGGAAAAAAGGAAGGGCCCATAAACTCGACTGGAACCAGAAAAGATGGATTATAAATGGCAAACAGATGGAACCTAATAATAAAGGAGGTCTTAAAAAAAAAAGAACAACTAATAGAGGAAATGTCAAAGGGCAGATTAATTCCTCAAGATAAGAAACCAAACTGTTAAGCTGAATTGAAGTTTTATTGGCACTCCCTAGAGGTAAACGGCAGCCACCGTTTCAATCATTTCGTTCCCCCACCCCCCACCCACCCCAAAATTGGTACAATCTTCTTTCCAGACTTTTGCGATTATTATTGCTAAGTTTGCAAAACTTGGATGTTCGGAGAGATTTGCTAAAGAGGAAGGGAGGGGAATTAGGTGGCTTGGCTGCTAATGCCCTGCAGATGATTTGCGAGCGTTGCAAGGAGAAATAAACAGAGTTTGCCATCGGAAGCGGGCGATTACATGTTTTTAAATGCCCCGTTATCAGTTACATTGGAGAAATCCAAAAAGGAGGTACAGTAGTTGCTTTTGAAAGGAAGTAACTATAATGGTAACTAGTTCCTTTTGGGATTCCCGACCTGTAACTCATTACTTTCACAGCAATCTTCGGATCCTCTTTTCTTGCTACATTCTGAATCCTTCCTCCAGCTGTTTCGTTGCAAAAGATGCATCTGATATGGGAGCCGTTCGTTCTTCCAACCAGTGGCTTCGAGTTTTAATTCCTCACAGATGTGGGCATGCCACCCCTGTCTTATCCTCCTGCCGTCCCTCCTGCTCACTTCAGCCTGAATATCGTCTCCAACCCTCCTTTTGAGGAGGGGTTACCCCCATAAATCCTGACAGCGCGATGGATCGGCCCGATAATGCAACAGGTAAGAGCAGTCACTTGCAATAACGGCGAGATCTTTCATGCGCGTTAAGATGAAAAACATGTTGATGATAATTTTTTTTTAAAAAAGAGGAAGAAATCTCCCGAAAAGCTCAAATTACTCCTAATTAAGAATGAGCTGATTTGCAGGCTGGACTTTCTCATTCCAAATAACGAGACTCAAGTTTCAGTATAAATTTATTATCTGGCGGCCCCTCCCCAAAACAGTCATCGTGTTTCTTCATGGGAGCATGTGGTCGCCATATCCTCATCATCTCGTACGCTCCTCACCCCCCCCGGGAAAAGGATTCATCATCTTCCACCAGTCATTAGGAGCGCTGTTGTGATTCCCAGGATGGTGTCGTGGGCTCTTCCAAGGAGAAAGGCAGGGTGAAAATATTTTAAATAAATGAATCCATCACATCAATAGAGTGACAGGCGAGGATTACGGAGGCTTGAGTTCGAATCCCCCCCACACTCGGCCATGGAAACTCAGAGGTTGTGTGAAACTGGGCTCCTGAAATTAGGGTTGCTAGAAGTCGGTTCCAACTTGATGGCACTGAAAACACACACCATGCAATCAAAGCCCATAGGGTCAAAATGCGAGGACTCCT